AAAAAAATCATACTTACGAGATGCGTTATTAGCTGTACTTTCGCACACAACTAGAGCTGTACGGAAAACGAGCACAATACAAGCAAGAATAAAAATTCTTTCCTTCAACTCATACTGGTCAAAAAATTTCTTCAACCAAAAATCTCAAAGAACTCAAAAATTGTATTTTCCAAATATGTAGATAGAATGTGTCCGAACAGTTTTTTTTTTCATATTTGATGTATTAGATATGATGGGGAATGCGATTTAGTTCGAACTAAAGTGATCAGAAGTTCTACTCATATAGAAATATGCAAGAATTTCAGAAAATCCTAATTTTCAGAAAAATGGAAGACGGCCGAAATAATTTTCGTTCCACATTTACTATTTATAAGCGATGAGGAAGACGATGCAGTGCAAACTAAATTGGTCAGAAATTCTGTTCAATCAAAGAAATACAAAAAATCAATGGAATTGGATTTCCAAAGAAATGGAAAGTACACAAAGAATTTTTTCGACTAAACTCCACGGCTAATAATTTTTCTTATAATAAACTTTTGGCTATAACGGACACTCCCTTCCTCGTATTAGTCCGTTATAACGAAGTTTTATTGTAGTTTGGTTTCTAAACAATTCACAACCTAAGTAAAACCCAACCCAACCTTAGATTGTAACATCACTATGCAGATAAATTATATCAATTAAACTGCAATACTCATAATTTTTAAAATACTCAAGTTACTCAAGTATCACGATTAAAACTAATTTCAGCCATCAATCTGCCATCCTTGGAGTAAACACACCAACATTTATTTATTAAGTTATGGTGGAAATTAAGATTAATCGTTTAGAAACAAAATTAAATCGCAGTAATTGTTATTGAAGAATTTTGATGAGAGAATGGAGAGATAGAAAAGTTATTTAGAGATAACTTGTATAATATTACCAATTACTATACTATACCACAGAAATTCTGTCCAATCAAAGATATAGAATGGAAATTGGTTTTCCAAAGAAATGGAAAGAACACAAAGAAATTTTTCCGGTAAACTGTACGGCTAATAATTTTTTATATTGATTTATTTATTATATATTCGGGATGCATACAGGGAGATTATCCCCAACAAAACATCCACATAATAACGAAAATTAATATAAAAATTGTGACAAACTAAAATAAATACAACAATAAAGCGACCAACAAAACATCCGCTATACGTTAGTTAGTACACATTCTCAAAAAGATCGTAAAGAAACGTGAAAGAGAGATATATGATTGAAGCTCTGGTTGTAAGAATTAAGAATTCGAACTAATGGCGAGTTTTGATAAAGGTTGGTGTCAGATACGTTAAGACGAAATGTAACGTGTAAGCCGTTGTGGTACCTTGAAGCTCAATTCAGGCAGAAGATCGGGGGTATCCAGCATGCCATTGACAAGCTTGAAAAGGAAGCTGAAGCCAAAAACAACTCGACGTTGCTGCAGAGACAATAAGTTGAAAACTACGCAACGCCTATCGTAATCATGGTGAGGAAGATGAAATTTATGTGCCAAATAACGTACAACGCGTCGCTGAATAGCTTCAATACGATCACGATACACCGCATACATGGGGTTCCATATTACGGAACTATAACATAGCACACTGCTGACAAATGCTAAATAAAGGGTTTTTATACACAAAAAATTCGTGAGGTTCTTACTGATTCTGTTAACAAATCCCAAATTACGTCGAGATTTCTTTACCATAAATTTACCGCAATTTGGAATCCAATATAATGCTAAGATCTTTTATTTTATTCGTGGACCAGATAGCAGTACTGTTAAAGTAGTAATGAGAGGATAAAGTTTCCAAGTAAATGTAATTTTTTGGCATTTGCCATAATTTAGGTAAAGTTTGTTAAGGCGACAGTTGTCATGTAGGCGGTCAAGATCCTCCAGTAGTCTAGACCCGATCCTTGTGAATATTTTATTGTCGTCGGCATACAGTAAAAACTTAGTAAATTTAAAACAAGAAGAAATATCGTTTATGTACATTACAAAGAGTAAGGGTCCAAGATGATTGCCCTGAGCCACACCGGATGTGATAGGTTTGAAACCAGATACAAAGCCACCAATCCTGACAACCTGACTTCTGTTAGATAAATACTACATAATTCAGTGAACAAGACCATCTGGAATATCAAAGGAGAAAAGTTTCTGTACAAGAATAGTATGATCGATTTTGTCGAAGGGTTTGGAGTAGTTGGTATAGATTGCGCCAATCTGAGTATCCTCGTTTAAAGCAGAATGAGTAAAGTTTACATAGGACAACAGATTACACTCCATGTTCAATAACGAACTTTTGGCTGTAACGGAAACTCCCTTCCCCGTATTAGTCCGTTATATCAAGGTTTCATTGTACTTGGGTTTCTAACCAATTCACAACCTCAGCATAACCCAACCTAACCCAACTCATCCCAACTCAAGTCAACCTCAGATTATAACATCACTATGCAGATAGGTTATAACAATCTATCCGTAATCTATCCATAATAGATTATTACGGAACCATAACATAGCACAATGCTGACAAATGCTAAATAAAGGGTTTTTATACACAAAAATTCGTGAAGTTCTTACTGATGCTGTTAAGAAATCCCAAATTACGTAGAGATTTCTTTACCATAAATTCAGTATGATGATAAAATCGCAATTTGGACTCCAATATAATACCAAGATCATTTACTTTATTCGTGGACCAGATAGTAGTACCGTTAAAGTAGTAACGAGAGGATAACCTTTCAAAGTAAATGTAATTTTTTGGCATTTGTCATAATTTAGGTAGTTTGTTAAGGCGACAGTAGTCATGTAGGCGGTCAAGATCCGAAGCCTTGTTTGAAGCCGTTAGAAGAAGCCAAAGTTTCTGTACAAGAATAGTATGATCAAAATGAGTAAAGTTTACATAGGACAACAGATTACACTTCATCGATCGCTCCAAATTTCGATGGGTTTGCAGGGTATCTCAGTTATTATGAAAGATAGAAAGTTGCGGCTTTCGCGAACCTGAGCTACTTTTTTGTGAAACTTACAATNCCAACCCAACTCATCCCAACTCAAGTCAACCTCAGATTATAACATCACTATGCAGATAGGTTATAACAATCTATCCGTAATCTATCCATAATAGATTATTACGGAACCATAACATAGCACAATGCTGACAAATGCTAAATAAAGGGTTTTTATACATAAAAATTTGTGAAGTTCTTACTGATTCTGTTAAGAAATCCCTAATTACGTAGAGATTTCTTTACCATAAATTCAGTATGATGATAAAATCGCAATTTGGAATCCAATATAATGCCAAGATCTTTTACTTTATTCGACCAGATAGCAGTACCGTTAAAGTAGTAACGAGAGGATAACCTTTCAAAGTAAATGTAATTTTTTGGCATTTGTCATAATTTAGTTAAAGTTTGTTAAGGCGACAGTAGTCATGTAGGCGGTCAAGATCCGAAGCCTTGTTTGAAGCCGTTAGAAGAAGCCAAAGTTTCTGTACAAGAATAGTGTCATCAAAATGAGTAAGTTTACATAGGACAACAGATTACACTTCATTGATCGCTCAGACAGCAAACCATGTACAATAACGAACTTTTGGCTATAACGGAAACTGCCTTCCCCGTATTAGTCCGTTATATCGAGGTTTTATTGTAGTTGGGTTTCTAAGCAATTCACAACTTATCCCAACTCAACTCAATCTCAGATTATAACATCACTATGCATATAGATTACAACAATCAAACTATCCTCATAATTTTTAAAATACTACAGTGTCAGGATTAAAACTGATTTCAGCCATCAATCTGCCATCTTCGGAGTAAACACACCAACATTTATTTATTAAGTTATGGTCGCAATTAAGATTAATGGTTTAGGGTCATTTAGAAAAGGACGCTTTTCGTTTCTTATGGTGCAGGGTCCCACACAGGGATCAGGACAGTAAAATAGTTCCAAAAATTAGATTTTTTTGCCTCTAAAAGCCNTCACAAAAAAGTAGCTCAGGTTCGCGAAAGCCGCAACTTTCTATCTTTCATAATAACTAAGATACCCTGCAAACCCATCGAAATTTGGACACCATGTACAATAACGAACTTTTGGCTATAACGGAAACTGCCTTCCCCGTATTAGTCCGTTATATCGAGGTTTTATTGTACTTGGGTTTCAAAACAATTCACAACCTCAGTATAACCCAACCCAACTTATCCCAACTCAACTCAATCTCAGATTATAACATCACTATGCAGATAGATTATAACAATCAAACAATCCTCATAATTTTTAGAATAGTCAAGTTACAGTGTCAGGATTAAAACTGATTTCAGCCATCAATCTGCCATCTTCGGAGTAAACACACCAACATTTATTTATTAAGTTATGGCCGCAATTAAGATTAATGGTTTAGGGTCATTTAGAAAAGGACGCTTTTCGTTTCTTATGGTGCAGGGTCCCACACAGGGATCAGGACAGTAAAATAGTTCCAAAAATTAGATTTTTTTGCCTCTAAAAGCCTCAAATAAATCATTAGAAGATGTTTCTTTAGAATCTTTCTAACGATGTATCCTTTCGCTTTGTTTTTGTAGTTTTAATCATTGTCACTAAAGTAAATGAAATAAAAAAAAAGTTTTTGTTCCATCAAATATAAGTCTGTTGTAAAAGATTGAGGCGACTAATTCATACCAATTTATCGTCGGAGGGAATCCTTCAAAGTCCACGGCGCGAAACGAACGGTCGCTTGGTCGGCCGGTGCCTTCGACGCCCGATCAGATCGCAAGCCCCTCTCGATGTCCCCCTTCGCCGCGCCGCCGCCCCTTAACTCCCAACCTTCTTTTCTGCCTTCGGCGACCGGAGTTTAACAGTTTTTTCGAGGGACCCCGGAGACCAGTCGGCCGTGTGGGGTAAAGTGGGGGTACCGCCGCCGCCGCCGCACGGCATAACCGGGGCCCGAGCAATGTCCTTGTCCTCGGCGTTCGTTCGCTCGGCGCGCCAGTTTAGCCGTGGACGCACTGGGCGACGGTTCGCGCCCCGTGTTCCTTCGGATACAGACGTTATGCCGTCGCGACAGTGCTGCGACCGACGATGACGGGCCCCACATCGGTGATGTGCGCGATCCTTTTCGGGACCGTGTTCGGTGTGTTATCGGCGTCTCTAAGTAAAGCGTTAAGGTATGAGGCCCCCGATGATTGTAAAAGTTACGTGGAGGGTCGCGAAGCACCCGACGCCGTCGCGCTTGTCTGTCGTGTTCGAACCATCAACAGTGAACTAGACAAGACCAACTTTAGTATAATACAATCGCAGCATACTGTGAGGTTAAGACTTGAATGCGACGACCTCTTCTACCAAAGCTCTTTGGCCGCGGGGAGTTTTGCGAACCTCGTCGAACTTCGCGACCTTTCCATAGAATACTGCAAGATCGGAAATCTCTCCGAAGGCGCCTTCCGGGGTCTGAAACAACTCCGGAACCTAACCGTTAAAACCCATAACATCGATTGGTCGGCGATGACCCTAAAAGTTTCGTCGAATATTTTTACCGATGAACTTCGAATGTTGGAACGCCTCGATCTTGGAGAAAATAATATTTGGAGTCTTCCCGAAGGAATTTTTTGTCCTTTGTATTCCTTGGAATTCCTCAATCTCACTCATAACCGTATCCGTGAAGTTTCCTCATTCAAATTCACCCAACACACCTCAGAAAAATGTGGTGGATCCATTAAGATCATCGACCTCTCCAAGAATAAAATTGATAATCTTCCATCCGGTCAACTTTCCGGATTATCAACGCTACAAAAATTGTACCTCCAAGAAAATGGGTTATCCTACGTAGCCGATCGTGCCTTAGAAGGTCTCTCGGCCTTAAAAATTCTCAAACTCTCCAATAATCGCTTAGTTTCACTCCCGCCAGAATTATTTTCGGACACGCGGGATATTCACGAATTATATCTCAAAAATAATTCCATCAACGTCCTCGCCCCCGGACTTTTCAACGAACTCACTCAACTTCAAGTGTTGGACATCTCGCAAAATGAACTCACATCCGATTGGATCAACACGCCAACATTCGCGGGTTTAGTGCGTTTAGTGGTTTTAGATTTAGCGTTTAATCGAATTCAAAAACTCGAAGCCTCAGTGTTCCGCGAATTATACAGCTTACAAATCCTCCAGCTCAACGATAATTACATCGACAGCATTCCAGATAATACATTCGCAGACTTATACAACGTTCATACACTCAACATGTCCAATAACCGGCTCACCCAAATTAAAAGTGACACATTTAACGGACTCTTTGTTCTATCGTTTTTGGATTTGGAAAATAATAAAATCACGTCAATCGATCCCGAAGCTCTGCGTAACTCAAGCGATTTAAAAACGTTACTTTTGAATAAAAATCAACTTCTTACTGTCCCCGAGGCGATTTCGAAAGTTCCCAAATTAATTCATTTGGATTTAGGAAAGAATCATATTAACACGTTAACGACGACGACTTTCGAGGAAATGAAATATTTAACCGGATTAAGGCTGACTGATAACTATATTACGAACATTACTAAAGGAATTTTTGATAAACTGCCGAATTTAAAAGCTTTAAATTTAGCTGCTAATAAAATTCACACGATTGAAATAGGTTCCTTTGACGCTAATCAAAATTTAGAAACGGTTCGTTTAGATACGAATTATTTAAAAGATTTCCGCGACTTATTCTCGAAATTACCCAACTTAATCGGTTTAAATGTTTCCGATAACCAATTAACATGGTTTGATTACGCTCATATCCCAACGAGCTTAAAATTACTTGATATTCAAGCGAATTACATCCACGAGTTTGGGAATTATTTCGATATTGATTCTTCGTTGTCGTTGATTTATTTCGATGCGAGTTCGAATTTGTTGAAAGAAATAACCGGAAGTGCTATTCCGGATAGTGTACAAACGTTGATTTTGAATAATAACAAAATTACTAAAGTTCAATCTTACACGTTTTTCAAAAAGCCGAATTTAACTAAAGTAGAATTCGCCGGAAACCAAATTACAAGCCTCGATCAAAATTCTTTAAGAATAACCGCGGTTCCGCCGGAAAAGGATCTCCCGGAATTTCGAATCGACAATAATCCTTATCAATGCGATTGTTCGATGGAATGGTTACAAAAAGTTAACGCAGGAAATCGAGCTCGAACTCAACCGAAATTGGTAAATATGGAAAACATTTATTGTCAACTCATGTATAATCGTGGGAGGTCTTATTTACCGCTGTTAGAAGTCGCACCTTACCAGTTTTTGTGTACCTATGAAACTCATTGTTTCTCTTTGTGTCACTGCTGCGACTTCGACGCTTGCGATTGCGAAATGATATGCCCGTATAACTGCACCTGTTACCACGACCAATTGTGGTCCGCAAACGTAGTCGATTGCTCCTCAAGGGGTTACGTGGAAAGATTACCAGACCAAATTCCCATGGACGCTACGCAATTATACTTGGACGGAAACGATTTAAGATCTTTGAATAGCCACGCTTTAATCGGAAGAAAAAAATTGAAAATCCTTTACTTGAACGATTCGAATATCGAGACAATCCAAAATAGGACTTTTAATGGGCTACGAGAATTAGAAATCTTACGATTAGATCGAAATAAATTAAACGAACTAAAAGGATACGAATTTGAAGGTTTAGATGGATTGAAAGAAATTTACCTTCAACGTAATCGAATCGCAACAATCTTAAACACAACGTTTACGCATTTAAAACTATTAAAAGTTCTCAATTTAGATCATAATAGGATTGTTGAATTTAGCGTATGGAGTTTGCCCATTAGCTTATTAGAAATCACATTGTCGTCAAATCCTTGGAGTTGTGATTGCGAATACACGGAAAAGTTAAGGGAATGGATGATTCGTGGGGATGCTGTCTTGGATTTAAATCAAGTTCGATGCTTGTATAACACAACAGACATTGATTTTTATAGTGAATCGACGTTTTCGGATAATTCGGAGCTTGGTTTTTACGTGTACAAGAACGATTCGGTTTGTACCGGTGCTGCGAACATCGATAATAGTGTTAACGGTAATTTAACCGCGACAAAAACGATTTTAAAACAACAAGTTATGGATTATATGCCACTTTTGGTTATAACTTTAGTAATTTTCGCCGTAGTTGTTAGTTTAATTTTGTTCCTGTTTATTTTCCGTCAAGAATTGCGCGTGTGGTTCCATTCGAAATTCGGTGTGAGATTATTTCAACATTCCACGGATTTGGAAAGAGACGATCGCGATAAACTTTTCGATGCGTTTATTAGTTACAGTTCTAAAGATGAAGCTTGGGTCGCGGAGGTGTTAGCCCCGGCTTTGGAGCCGAATTATAAACTTTGTTTGCACTACAGGGACTTTCCGGTCGGTGCTTTTTTGGCGGATACAATAGTGCAAGCTGTCGAGTCATCACGAAGAACGATAATGATTCTTTCCGAAAACTTTATTAAATCTGAATGGTGTCGTTTTGAATTTAAATCGGCTCATCATCAAGTGTTGCGCGATCGACGTCGAAGGTTAATAGTGGTTCTTTTGGGGGAGGTTCCACAAAAAGATTTAGATCCCGATATAAGACTCTACTTAAAAACAAACGTGTATTTACAATGGGGTGAGAAACTGTTCTGGGAAAAATTGCGATACGCACTACCCGATATACAAAGGAGGAGGGGCTCGTCGAGGGGTCCTCACGTGCATCATCACGTTCATAGGCATCCAACAACACCGAGGGCTCAAGGAGGTGGTAACACAACCGGTAACGCAAATCCGCAGAGAACGGTCGCTATCCATATATGAAAATTGTGATATACACAAAAGTGCAATTTGTAGTAGATGAAAATTGTGATATTTCGGGGTGAGGACAGAAACAATTTTAGTGTAAATAGTGTGAATGTGGTCGCAACCCCTTCTTCGATCATGTAAATACAAAGAACTAAAAAATGAAATAAAATTTCGATGTCTTTAACGCTCCTCCTGTAAATAATTTATACATATATTTTTATAGCAATATTTATTCAATTTGAATCCTTTTTGGACATATCGAGTCTGAACGAAACTTTGTATATTTTTAAAATAAAGTCTGGATTTATATTAAATAGTTTTATGCTTTTTCCCAAACCAAACCACAAAATAAGTTCATCGCACAGTTACAACTAACTGTTCGTATATGAGGAAGAAGAAACCATCGACCACTAGAGCTCACTTTAAAATCCACAATAACTGTTAAAGCAACTGTAATCGTAACTCGGAGAGAAACACAGATTGACATCTCAATCAATAACATTTCATCACCAGAAAATCGTAAAAAATCTTTAATGATTATTATAATAACCATTTCATTCTTTATAACCAATCATCTTTATTACAAACTATTTTACCACTCCTTTTATCGATTTATTGAGTCTCATTTGAAACATAATTACTACTTTCATTAGTAGATGAAAAATTCTGGCTAAAAAGAAAAAATCTTAAATCCATAATTCCCTCTAAGCCTCCATTACACCGCATGTTAAACCGCTTATCGTCAGTTCTTAAAGGCTTTGCAGGGAGCAGGTAGAGTTCTCGAAGCAACGAGCGCTTATTGATTAGAAGATAGCAACGAGGAATAGCTTCTTTCTCGTCGGTGTGCCACACCTGCAGACTTCCTCTGTTAGCGGGCAAACAGGGCAAGAACAACAGGTAAAAGCTCTGCCCGCTCCGGGACCAGTCCTAACGAGGCCTGATGGACGAGGACGGCCGCCGGAGTGAGATGGGGAAAAGATAGAGCGAGAGAGGGGGTCAGTGACTTCGTCAGGTTGCGATGTAAAACCCGGCGCTAGCTGAAAATTTCACTAATTACCACTAAATTCCGCTACACAATCCACGCGATTTATTATCCGAATAATCAACAACTCTCATACAACATTACTAGTATCACCGGAAAATTGTATGCAAGATAGGAAATTTCGTGATTTGTTCTCGCGTATCCCACGGCCATCATCCTCCGAAGATATTAACTTTAAATCCACCTGGAAATTCTCCAGAAATCAATTAAATTTATAACCAACTTAGAATGCTATAAATCTATCAAAACGTTTAACGTCCGTTACCATTTTAGACCTTCGCTCACGAGTTATTTCGAAGGATATCTCGAAAGATTATACGTCGTAAACACAATTTATACATCATAATTTGCTATTTATTTCTTAATTAAACCCCAGGGAATGTATTTTCATTTTTCAAACGTCGATATAAAATATCCGTTATATAAAATTATGCCAAGATTATTATCGATATTCAATTTTATGTTATTGAAATCAATAACATCGAAATAATATTTAATTATATAAATTAATGTATAATTTGTAATAAATCAAGTTGTTTTTATCAAATTATTTATTATTATAAAAAAAATACAATGTCAAAGATAGTCTCGTTCGTAAACGAATGTTACTTGCGGCCGAGACGCTACAATTAGTACCATATCGACCACATTGATTGTAGAACACATCGATTGCAAGGCTGAGGTTGTTAGCAGCAGAGGCAGTACTTGTATTACCATAAAGAGTACATTGATTGAAGAATACAAATAAGTAATACTACATTGATCGTATATCGATCTTAATATATCACAGAAAATATATTTTCCAATTAAGCCGAGGTCACTTGCCGCCGAGGAGCTACAATCGTTGAAGATGAAAAGATATTCCCAGTGGAACAAAGTGACGCAAAACGATGTCATGATTTCAACAGTGCATATTACTCATCACGAGTTACTCGTCAAAGTTTTTGAAAATATAATTACATTGAGATGTAGAGATTATTATAAATCTAGATATATTTAGTTAGACAAATTCTTCCGGACAGCGTGTGGAGACAAATGACAATAAAAACTCTAACATACAAGAAAACGTTTTCTCCGCCGTACAAAAAAACTCATTAACTTTAAAGTGTTGGTTCTTAGAGAGACAGAACGGGTCTCGTCTAAAAGTGCCTAAACGACGTCGTCGTTTCTTAATGGCACCGTGTCAAGACCGCGGGTCTTGCGGGGCTTGGGGAACATTGTTGTTTAAGCCGGAGGAGCCATTATTTACAAGAAGTGTTACCGCACCTCGGCCGGGCCCTGTGTAGCTCGTATTTAATCTTGTCACGGGAGTTGTCCCTGTGATCAATTGGTTATAATTATGCAAATCAGCTCGATTCCACCGCCAAGTCTCGATTTGATGTCTCGTTGGTGTGGTATCACGTTTCGAAGAAAGAAAAAATTTGGATAGTTTTAACAATCGGTTGGTTGATGGGTTTTTATACCGAAAATGGTACGGTTCCGCAATTTCGACGATGAACAGGTCTCCGAAAACGATAAGGGGACGGGCGGAGGTTTCGTTTTATGGCGATCTTTTTCCAGGTAAGTCCAAAACACCGCGTCCCGAAGCCGAACCGTTACCTCGTTGTCGGGTCAGAAATATGAGAGGCCCTCCGCTGTGGTTCCTGATCAGATATGTAATTAAAGAGGTCGTATAACTTATCTGAAGGAGGCCAATAATTACTGGCTTATCTGCGGACCCGGTCGTGGTGGCTCGATTTCTGGGCTTCTACTGCCTCAACGACGACAACGACATGGGAAATGATGGTGAAAGCACAAAGAAATTCGCGGAATTTGACGCCAATAAATTAACAGCCAGTTAAGATAAGATATCCCACACGTAAATCTATTTATGTATTCCACGTGCTTTTAAATGTCACGTTAGATAATTGCAAAAATGGTTAAGCATTGCACTCGAAACACCGTAAATATCTACTCTGATATCGTGATCAATATCCATAATAAGGTGTGGGGATTTATACTGGATATTATCCCGACACTAATTCATTCAAGCAATGCATTATACATTATAAGAAAGTATTGTGAAAACATTTCAGTTTGATTAAAATCAATCATAAATTTATAGCGTATCTAGATTACATTCAAACCGTTGTAGATTAAAAAGAATATCTTTTGTGGAAATCTTGGAAAGTTCATGAGTAAACTTAGTTACTGCTAGTGGTCGCTGTTGCGGCGAAGTAATTTCAATAAAAAACGAATAAACTACTCTCTCAGGGGCATAAATACATCGCGCGACCGAAAAATTTATGTATTCCGTTGACCTTCGACGGCCGAGTGAGTTTCAATATGGCAGAGTACGACGCGCCTCGCGTCGCAGCGCCATTAACTTGTAGCAGTTACGAAAATTTTTAACATAAATTCGCCGCCCGGATCCTTAAGAGAGATTTACAGTGAAAAGTTGAGTTATAACCAACCAAGAGAAAAGGTCGCCTGCTGTCCGAACTGCGCAAGCGAGAAATACATATATTTTTTCCATTTTCAATGTGAATCTAAGACCCTGTAAATATCTTACGCGACAACCGTAGTTGTTGTAGTCGTTGTAATATTTTTTTTTAAGTGTGTATTTTAGTCGCGTCGAAAAGTTATTAAACGACATCAAACAAATTCTTTCGTCGACTCAAAGCGGGCACCTAATCTGCATAATATTAATGTCCGACCGAGCTTCGTAATCGGGTACGCCATTAGCACTAACTATTTTTCAAAAGGGACGTCTCTCGCTCGGCGATTTATTACGCGTTGAGACATACTCGAGTTGCCGGTTCATTTTTCGTTAACGTCCTGTTCCCATTAACCATGAAGAGAAGATCCTCTACCAGCTTATTGCATAACTAGACCGATTATCGATTCATCTTTTATCTTCAATAATAATATAGAAACACGCTGACAAAAATAAAAGACGACATGGTGCTAATTGGAAAAGGGGTCTTTGATTTGTAATTATTCAAAATTAAGGACTAGTGTTGGGTTGTGCTGGTGTAAGTTGGGTTGGATTGAGTTGCAATTGTGTAGAATTTGCAAATTCGAAGCAAAAACAAATTTAACACTTTATCGACCGCTAGCCTATTAATCGGCCTTTCGAATGCCAATGGTCATGGACCGCTAGCCTATTAATCGGCTTTTCGACTACCAACGCTTATCGACCGATAGCCTATTAATCGGCTTTTAGTTATCGACGGGTTTCGTCTGACTATATGTCTGAGACAAACAAACGTGTATCAACGTGTATAGTAGTTAGCTGTTAGCTGTCCTCTCCGTATCCTTACGAATTATAATATTTTTACTTTTACCTACAATGGATAAAGATCGTCCAGATGAAGAGTTTTGCTTAGATACTTTGTCAGACTATAGTTGTTATTCAGAAAGTGATAGTGATGGTGATAGAAGTGATTCTTCTATAAACATTCGGAAGCCACGAAAATTATTGCCACTGCAATCTAGCGATTCAGAAAGTGATAATGATGACACTGCTGAAGTAAACATCGACACGTGGTCAACAAATGACAAATCAATTATTTTGGAACCTTTCGAAGGCAGCCCAGGTATAAAAATTCTACCAAAATACGAAGAAAGTGTAATAGACATTGTAAAGTTATTTATTGGAGATGACTTTTTGGAATATTTGGTTAAAGAATCGAATAGATATCACTATCAAATAATCAATAAATATAAAACTATCTCAAGAACGAAGAAATGGATGGATATTACGTTGCCAGAAATGAAAAAATGTTTAGGTCTAATTATTCTAATGGACAAGTAAAACAAAAACAGACTTCACGATTACTGGTCAACTGACCCAAGCATCGAAACTCCGTTTTTTTCTAAAGTAATGAGCAGAACCAGATTTATGCAGATACTGCAGAGCTGGCACTTTTGTAACAATGAAGATATACCCACAAATTCAAACAGACTTGTAAAAGTTCAGCCAGTTATAAATTATTTAAAGAATAGATTTGTTGATGTATATAAACCTTGTCAACAATAAAATTATCATTAGATGAATGTATTATTCCGTGGCGGGGAAGACTGTCATTCAAAACCTACAATGCTGCGAAAATTGTAAAGTACGGCATACTTGTGAGAGCAGTCTGTGAAGCTCATACGGGATACGTTTGTAATTTTGAAGTGTATGCTTACCAAGGAATGAAGTTGGAAAACACTATTCTACAAGTTATTGATCCTTATAAAAATATTTGGCATCACATTTATCAGGATAATTATTACAACAGTGTCCATATGGCTGAAGTTCTCTTGCAAAATAAAGTACAGGTATGTGGAACTATGCGTAAAAATAGAGGTCTTCCTCAATGTCTCCAAAAAATAACCCTTTCAAATGGTCAAACTACATTTCGTAGAAAACACGTACACAACAAGTACATGAAGGGGGTAGATCGCGCTGATCAATATCTGTCTTACTACTCTATTTTTAGAAAAACGAAGAAGTGGACCAAACGAGTAGTAATGTTTTTAATCAATTGTGCGCTTTTTAATGCATTTAAAACGTACACAACTTTGAACGGAATTCGGTAATGGGGTATTACTACGGATTCCGTACGGATATTTACGTACGGATTCCAGAGAAGAGGAGGAAGAGTTTTAGGTAATCAGCGAACCTCAGAAGGAAGCCAACCCGATACAATCTGATAGCATAAAATCCATAAGCCGGGTGTCTGCCTGGCAGCATTCACGTCTGTCAAGTTCGCACTACATCTTGCGATTTGAATAAGAAAAACTATTGCATTAATTGTCGCTTAATTTGTTGTAAAGTTTACAGATTTGTCGCTTCCTTTTTTATAAACAATATTTGAAATAATGCGTTTTTAAGGTAGTTCTAACTTGACAGTGGGAATCTATGGTATAGAACCTAGATGACAGAAAACTAAGGTCGTCATTAATTGTGGCTTAATTTGTTGTAATTTACAAATTTCTCGCGTGCTTTTTTATGAATAATCTCTGAGGTATTGCACTTTAAAGGCATACTAAACGTACTTTAAATTTTCGCCCACGTCATCAAACGTTACTAAGGATTGGTATGACGTCATATTAAAGCCACAATTGACCAATTACAGTATTCCATTTACAATTACGATAGTAGCGTATTAATGACGTAAGGCTCAATGGTGAAAAACCAACATTACCATACTAAAATTATGAGCAAAACTGTTGTACATCATCAAACGTTACCACGGTTGTTTTGCAAACCAGAATTGACGAATTACAGAATTACGATTACAATTAGCATAGTAAGGTATTGATGACGTGTAACAATTCTGCTTATGATTTTAGTATGTTGCATTGTAGTGGTAAAATAAGTTAACATTAAGTATTGATAGTGTAAGCATTGCAATTAATGCAAACTCAGGTGTTTTCGACGCTTCGTATTGCGAATTGAACGTCGTTGCACCGAAGGTTAATAAACGTTTGAATTGCAGAATAAAGATATAATTGTCGTCCGAACGTTGAACGAACACCATGTAATTAACCTCAATAAATTCATTGTTCACACTGTCAAAAGGAACTTTATTTTAAATCCCGACATTACGGCATAAGTGAGGTAGAGCTAACTTCACACCCAGTCTATGACTTAAAATGGATATATAACAAGAAATAACTAATAAGATAAAATGTTATTTTATAAAAGTAAAATAGACACGGTCTTTCGGCAACTTTTTTATTCCACAATATATAATTAATGCTGGTATAGTTTCAAAAGTAGGCTGAACCTCCTTAGCGACATCTTTCAAATTATCGTAAACAACCTATTTAATGCTATTTCGTTATGAAATTGCTATACAGGGTGAGTCAGAAAGAATGGGATATCCGAATACCGGAGATGCTAGATACCAAAATATGATGATTTAACGTAACATCTCTTATACAAATGTCAGTGATTTTCGAGGCATAGGGTGTAGAAAGTTAAATTCTTATTTCGAAATTTCTTGATAATTTTGAAGATTTTGTACTATTAACATAAAATTTGGTAGTTTTATGTTTTCGAGCATGAGAAATACGAATTTGAAACTTGCTCTGTTATTGCTCGTAGAGGGCGCTAGATACATGCTGCTCGTTTGATAAATCAAATCATAAGTATTTTGGCTCAACAGCTACGACCAGTAAGAGCTGCAAATCACAAAGAGCATTCAATTTTACATAAAAAAAGGTACTCTTATTGAAATTGTCTGTCTATCGGTTTTCGAATTATTTACATTTAAATGTTTAAATGTATTTTCTCTTCTAAAATATTTATTTTTTAACATAAGCAAAGTTGGGTATTTTTCCGCTTATACACAGATATACAGATAACTTGGAAACCAGTAGATTTAGACAATGTAAGCAAGAGTACCTTTCTTGTGCAGAATTGAAAACTCCTTCAGATTTCTGGTTCTAATTCACCGTACCTCATCTGACAAAATAGTCATGACTTGATATCTCAAACGTACAGTCTGTATCTAGCGCCCTCTACGAATAATCACAAAACAAATATCAAATTCGTATTTCTTATGCTCGAAAACATCTAACTACCAAATTTTATGTTAATAGTACAACTTTCAACACCCTGTGTATTAAAAACCACAGACATTTGTATAAGACATGTTAGGTTAAATCGTCATATTTTGGTGTCTAGTGTCTCCGGTATTCGGATTTCAACAACTTTAATCTATCAATTCTGGAAGCATACACCCTTTATAAAACCGTTGTAATTTACTTTCCATATTGTCCTTCCAAAATTTCATATCATGTCTTATAATGAAACTTGTAATGGATAGTTTATATCGAAGAAAAAGATGCATATTTTCTGTTGGTAATTTTCAACTGTCCTTGTCCTTGTACCATTTATGTTTTTTATTTATTTTAAAACAGTCTTGATTCCATTTCCAGAAAGTATTTTTTTTTGTTTTATGGCATCCTTGGGATGCATACGGTATGCAAAGAAAGGGCACTTTATTTCCACGACAACTCCTTCTCCCACTAAACCATCTGGACTTGCTCCTAGGAAGCTGTACTCAGCGTCTATAAACAATCCGCACGTTTCTACCTTTATGTTATCCTGTTCTTCTAACTGATGTATAGCAAGCTTTTCATTCATTTTACCATTCTGCATAGCCTTAGATCTACTTACTGCATCACACGATTGACGCGACAAATTTGTAAACTTTACGACAAATTACAACAAATTAAGCGACAATTAATGCAATAATTTTTGTTATTCAAATCGCAAGATGTAGTGCCAACTTGACAGAGGTGCAACTTTCCTAATATGAATATGATAATATATTAATTGTACTGCCTCGGCCGCAAGCGACCTCGGCTTGGTTTCTTGAACTCATTGTTCATTATGATTAAGCTCGGCGATTTATTACACGTTGAGACATACTTGAGTTGACGGCTCATTTTTCGTTAATGTCCTGTTCCCATTAAGCATGAAGAGAAGAACCTCTACCAGCTTATTTCATAACTAAACCGATTATCGAGTCATCTTTTATCTTCAATAATAATATAGAAACACCCTGCCAAAAATAAAAGACGACATGGTGTTAATTGGAAAGTTGAAAATTCAAAATAAAGAAGGCAAAATCAAGGACTGGTGATGGGTTGGGTTGTGTTGGAGTAAGTTGGGTTGATTTAAGTTACAATTGTGTAGGATTTTCAAATTCGAAATAAAAACAATTTTAAGGAAGAATTGGCACGCGAGATAGTGTAAGAGGAACATTGGACCAGATGAAGCAGAGATGAGAAGGAAATAAGGAGGCATGAAGAGGAAGAGAAAGAATAATAGCAGTGACGAAAGGTCACTCCGAAGTAATACCCTACAACGGATTCCAGAGGAGAGAAAGAAGAGTTTTAGTTGATCACCTATCCTAAGAAGGAAGTCACCCCGATACAACTTTTACCAACTTATTTTATAACTAAACCGATTATCGATTTATCTTTTATCTTCAATAATAATATAGAAATACACTGACAAAAATAAAAGACGACATGGTGTTAATTGGAAAAGGGGTCTTTGATTTGTAATTATTCAAAATAAAGAAAGAAAAATCAAGGATTGGTGTTGAGTTGGGTTGAGTTGCAATTGTGTAGGATTTGCAAATTCGAAGCAAACACAAATTTGAGGGAGAATTGGCAAGAGGGATAGTATAAGAGGAACGTTGGACCAGGTGAAGAAGACATAAGGAGGAAATAAGGAGGTATGAAGAGGAATAATAGCAATAACGAAAGGTCATTCCGAAGTAATACCCAATAACGGATTCCAGAAGAGAACAGGAAGAGTTTTAGTTGACCAGCGATCAGCATAAAACCCATAAGCCGGGTGTCTGCCTAGTAGCTTTCCTGATATGAATATAATAATAATAATAATTTATTGTTCTGCAAGAAAATAATATATACATACATAAAAAAAAAATTATAATACACTTTAGACATCTTAAATCTAGAGCAATCGTATAGCTTGGTTCAGCTGTGCTGTTCTATCACCTCGCTATAATAATAATCATTAAAAGAACCTGAACTCATGTCCAGAAAGATAATAAGTCCATAAAGAAGAAAAAAAGAAAAAGTCACACAGCAATCATAATGTCCGGTATGTTTCGGTGATACGAAAAATACTTTTTAAAAAGGCAATTATGGAAAACTGGAGGAGACAATCTAGGCTTAAACCTAATATTGACTGAATGTACGTCCCCCGAAAACTAATTTTACTGAAAAGATAAGGAGGTTTCATGAAAAGAAGGATTTTGTGAAAAAAGCAAATTGAATGTA